GGTTTTGAAGAAGAAGGCGAGGAGCGGGCGTTAATTGCAGAGGAGGTAGTATTAGAAGACACGCATCTGATGGGATTCAACAAATGGCTCATGGCCGTTCAGTGTGTGCTTGCGCCGTTGTTCTGCGTTACAGTCCTATTCAGTAAGTATTGATTGCTTATTAAAGTCTGCAGCATATTTACAAGCGCCTTCACTTCCCAGACTCGTCAAGCCGTCAAATGGTTTACTTGGGTGCGGCAGCTGTCGGGGGCTGCATAGCAAGTACCCTTGTAATTGTGTTCGCTGATAGAGCAAATCATCCGACAGCGAGATTAGCTCGATGTTCAATGGGCTTTATGGTTGGGATGGTGTGGATCATGGCCATTGCAGATGAGATTGTGCTTGTGCTCCAGGTAAGGCGGAATTCAGCTCCTTGACTCCCACGCCAACCAGACATCTAGGCGTTTGGATTCATCTTTGGTTTATCGGATGCACTCATTGGTCTAACTCTCTTCGCCATGGGAAACTCTTTGGCTGACTTGGTAGCCAACCTGAGCGTAGCGGTGTGTAGAATACCAAAGCTTCGTCTATCAGTTTCACTGAAATTCATTTCAGAAATTTGCTCCCATCATGGGTTTCTCTGCCTGTTTTGGTAGCCCCATGTTGAACATTTTACTTGGAATCGGTATCTCAGGTTCATATGTCACCCATCAGACAGGTGCTCCATATGAGCTCACGTACTCGACGATGCTCTTCGTGAGTACTATCGGTCTTCTCATCCTACTTGCCGCCACTCTCGTGTATGTTCCATTGAACGATTATCATCTCACCCGTCGCTGGGGCATCGCATTAGTGTCTTTCTATCTCATTCTCATGATAACTAACATCACCGTCGAGCTTAAGAGCGGATCAGTATCATAAATAAATTTTGGTACATAATATTTGCTGTGGACTTGGTATCTATGTATTTACCCTTTTTCGAGACCATATACATGGGGCTGTATCTAATTCTCAGTTTCAGCTGTCCGTCGGTGTTCGTGGTATGTGAATCATTGCTCGCACAAATGATGGACGTGCCCTACAATGTGTGTTTTATCATATCCATCCTATATGACTCTAAGATTAAAATTTCTAATAGCCATGATAGACAATGATCCGGATCCATCGCGACTGCAGATGTGTTTACTTGAGTCATATGCGGGATTACGGAATGTTTTGTAGTATGCAGAGTTTCCTGTGTCTACATGTCTATCATGCGCAGCACCGCCGCAGTTCGGAGTTTGAATGCGATGAGGTCATATACTTACTCTGGGTCAGACCCTGGCTTGTTCCCCACATCTCCAATGGCGCCAGTCAACTTCAAGCTCACTGAACCTGATGGACTCACTCGTCGTGTCGTATTTTCTGACAAACCATCCTGGAGTACTTTCGCCCAAAAAGTTGAACTGCTTTTTGGCATCCCATTTGAACAAGTTTCAGTATCTTACATCGATGCAGACAAAGACCAGGTGACTTTGAGTTCACAGGAGGAACTGGACGATTTCTATGCGACTTCATATACTGATGGTCAGGCTGTAAAGTTCACAGTCCAGAACTTACCCATCGCTCGTCTTCAGAGGACATTGTCCCGCAATCAGTCTCGAAACACAATTGGCATTGGGGCATTTGATATTGAAGATGACTGGCAAACCCTTCCCATGCCCCCCACCTCCGAACTTCAAGGACTCTTCCTGCCGAACGTTTTCAGCGAGGGTCAAACACATGGCTTTGTTGAAACCCTTGATAGTGACCGAGATACTACTATTAAGGATGTGGGTAGCAGCCATCGCGAGAGATCCATCTCTTCCGCATCATCGAGTCCCTTCATTCCTTCCATCGGATCTTTGGACAAAGGAAAGCAGAAGGCAGTTTCCGAGGACGACGTCTCGTCGACCGGGTCTGTGATTGGAGAAGATGCTCCTCCGAAGCCTCCGGTTCATGTGTTTGATTTTCAAACTCCTATTACTCCAGATGCGGCCTTTGACTACCCCTGCGCACCAGCTGAAAGCACTCCCAAAGCTGACCCTCAGACTCTGAATAACGCTGGTGTTCAGGTCGTGGATGTCGATCAGGACGCTACAAGCAACAGCAAGGACGGCCCAACTGGGTGTGCTCTCCCTATCCAGAATGATTCAGACTCAACTGCATCCACTTCGTTCCTTAACGACTTGAATTCCTTCTTTACCACATTCTCCAATGTTATCGTTGCGCATCCTGAGCTCTCAGAAGGAATGCGCAATATTCTTCGCAACACGTTGAATGGCACGTATTGGCAAGCTCACAGAGATAATATGACTCAAGCTGTACATGACCTTGCTCGTGAAACAGGAGACGCTGCGGAAGCTTTGCGCAAAGAAACAGAAGACGCAGCCAGGCGACGTGTTACTGACGCACTCGGAGGTGTCTTCCGGTCTTTGTCGGACACACTTCAACCTCCTCATCTTAATGTGTCCTCATCTTCTGGTCCGGCAAGCACACAATCGACGAAGAAATTGGAAGCAGTCAAACCAGTTCGAAACGAAACTCCCACCCGTCCATCCGCCCCTGGAGCCCCTTCTGAATCAAACCCCCGGGAGCGTCAAGGATCTGGACATTGGGGACACATGGGACACCGAGGGGCACCTCTTCCTTGCCCACCACCTTTTATCCCTTTCCGCAACCCATTCCCTCACCTGCACGTGCCACCTCCCCCTCCATTTGATGAAAGTTTCCGCAACTTCACCAGTTGGCCTCCGCCCCCTCCGCTCCAATTTCCTAGCCATTACCCTCCCTGGCCCCCTTCGCCCGTTGGCCCTTACCGTGCCCCTCCGGGCCCTCCACCCACTATGGAAACATCAACGCCTCACACAAGTAAACCGACGCCACAGGAGCTGCGGGCTCAGGTAGATGAGGCGAAAGCCCGTTACCGAGCGGAGAAGGAAAAATATCGTCTAGATAGAGAGGAACGTCGTCATGGACGAACGATGAGAGCGCAAGCAGTCATGGACGAACTGTAGGTCTGCAAAGTTAACACACCTTGCAGGTTTTTCATTATAATTTCACAGAGATAGGTCCCCTGCACCTACTCCCTTCGAAAGGTCGACAACACCTGTTATTGCTGTTCAGGGCAGGAGTAATCAGCCCACTTATGAGGTAGTCAATCGGCGCAATACTCATACTGGTCATGGAACATCTACCAGGCGTCATGTCAGTTATGGTTTGGAGCGGAATGATTTGAGAACTCGCACGATCAACAGGATTGCGAAGCGTCTGGCAGATGTTCGTTTCGACTTTTCCTTCATATACCTTCTTTTCTGACCTACACCCAATAGATGGGATTCAGCGAAAGTACACATCCAGACTTACCTAGCAAGATCAAAACTCAAATTCCTTTTGAGGGAATTGTTAGCAATGATTCGGAAGATGACATTGTCACAACTCTACTGGAAGACCTCCTTCTTACATCTCCCAAACCTCCGGTAGCGTCAGGTTCGAGAGGGAGGGAAATCCCTGGTGCTTGGCATTGAACAACAATCGAAAGAAGGTAACTATGATTTAGTATTATGCCTGTGCTTTTATGCCTTATGGACTCTGATATCTATGTGATTTGTGTATGTACTTTACTGAAAACTGTATTTTTACAACCCTATGTATGCGTGTTTCTGAATCATATATATGTGCGGTGTGATAAAGTGCATTGTCGTGGTCCTTCAATAACTGATGTCACTTGTTGCGCTTCGATAAGAGCAAAGCAAATGATTGTTCACAGCCTGGGATAAAATGAAGAGACTGTTCAGGAGTTGCGTTTCGAGGTCCCCGTTAGGCACCCCAAGGTGGTGCGTGACGCCATGCATTTCGGTGTGATATTTTTATATACTGTCAAGTCTTCAAGTCAAATCCTGTCAAATCAATGGTGAAGATTGTGCATATAAGAACCAAATTAGCTAGCCACTATGGCAACGACAAGGCCTCGCTAAGGAGCGCGAAGGAGGCTGTCATCGAGTGGGCAAACACTGTGATTTTTGGCTTTTTCGCACATTTATGCTCTTAATGCGAACGTTGCGTGTTGTGTACCATATGTACTGTGTAGAAATTCTTGTGACTTGGAAGTATCCAATCTTCTTTAGCTTTCTGGCTGATCTACTGGTTCGGTAGGTTTCTCTGTGGATGGTAGTGAAATGCATGGAAATGAATCGGCAAAAGGTGCTGAAGCCCGTCCAGAAACCTGTCTGACCTATTGAATCAGACGTTCGAGGTATTCGATGGCTTCGGAACATGGTGGTCCTCGGACATGGCTGGTGTGCCTAACAACGTCGCCTGTTGTCCACCATAAATCAAGAATGCGATCAAAGGTACACCGACAGTCCACAATAGCAATTCTCGCTCGTAGTGTCGAATAGTAGTCAATCTGACGTCTCGCGAGATCTTACGGAATGGCATACTGTAGGCACGAGGGAGAAGCTCAACGTCGTTGGAGGTGGAAAGTTAGGAACATGTCCCTAATCTAGGGTTAGGAGATTGTATGGATCTTCTTCCTCGATGAAGGAAGGCGTCTGCAGATGATGTTTATGAGATATATCGGGTGTAGGGCCGGGGCTCCGACCCGTCACAGATAATCACTGCGTTGATCTAGATCGACAGACTGTAATGCCTGGAGACGACATATCTTTGGGCACCGGCGTGCCACACTTGTTCAAGTTCTTGATCCCCAGCTGTCATCAAATTATCGGCCCAAGGTAAACGAAAACGGCCCCCTCAGGAATTTTGCCTTGGTTACAGGCAGGCAGATGATCGATGAAGATACAGTTTCAAGTCTTGTACCAAGGTTAGTGCCGTGCGATGCGATGCGATCCAAGATGTAATGTAAGATGAATGAACGGGATTGGACAACGCAACGAAGAAAGGGAGACACGTCTCCTTTCTTGTGTGTACCGATGGTGTATCTTCGGTTTTCCCGGGCCGGGTCAGGGTCACATTATGTTTTGCCAGTACAGATGTTGCAAGGCGCTGTAGTGTAGAGGTTATCACTCGAGATTTTGATATGTATAGATGACCACTTGTTCTCGAAACCCAGGTTCGAGTCCTGGCAGTGCCTCTCTACCCACTGTGAATATTTCTAACTTTTTGAGGATGTACAAATGTGCTGGAGATGCGAGCAAGCCGAGGAAAACACCTTGGAAAGTCGAGCTGTGGCGTGCTTCGGTTCTCATCTTACGCGCGCGCGGGGGCTCGATCGACCTCTGCTGCTAGGAGCGACGAGAGCGGGCTGCAGAGGCAACAGATGGCGCCGACCCGGCGAATAAGATAGCGAAATCCGGCTCGCTACGCGCGCGTAGCGAGCCACGTGTAATTGGACTCCGCGGCTGAACGCGATGGGTAAAAGTACAATACAAAGTAATGTAGGCTGCTATAATATGAAATATAGTATCATGGGAGAGGTGGGTGGGCGATCGAAAAGATAAACGACGAGAGAGACTATAGATACCAAAGGAAAGCGGGGTGAGCGAAGCCCAGTCGCAACAACGACTATCTGGGCTTACATTAATTAATCGGACTCCAGCGACGGAA